AACACAAAACGGACTAATACAGGCACCTCAACCAGAACTCCTCTGAGACGCCTCCTTTCTCATGGAGGGAGACGTGATTCCACTCTGTACCAGGACATGGGGCAGAGCTGCTGTGCATCCTCCATTCAGCTCCATGCATAGCAGGGCTGTCTCACCCACATTGCCTAAGGCCCTGGGCACCATTTCAATGTGTGCCCTGTCACAGGGAAAGGTACTCTGGGGCGTCTCAACTGATCCTTCCTTCCCTCATGGGACACCTGCTGGCAGTGGGCTTTGTCCCATCTATGTCCCTAGTATGCCAATGATATCAGCTCCCCCGTGTCTGAGGGGCCATCCCAGCCCCTCCCTCACCACCGTGTCCCCAGAGTGCGAGAGGGCTTATGTTTTCCATCAGATGGATGTCATTAGTTGGTTTTCAATGACATTTTTACAAATACTGTCTGCACCTTAGTCCTACTTTGCTTGAGGGCATTTCATTAAAGACTATATGCCTTTCTCCAAATATAAAGTTTTAGACCATAAAATACGGTTTTAGAAAAGAGCTCTCTTTATTAATAGACGTGTAAGCACGTGAAAGAAAATTTTTTAACTGGTTCAAACGCTATGACATAAAAATTTCAAGACCTAATTCCTTTGGCAAGACAGGACCTACTGGGATACCAGATTCCATCTGCAACATGGAAGGACACACAGGTGAGGGTGAGGGGTGGGCCCAGGCAGGGCTCAGGAGCAGCTGTGCTCGGTTCTTCTTCTCACTGTCGGCTGTCACTCCTGCTGTGCTCTGTCAGCGACTGAATCAGGCAGAACAGTCCCTGCAGACTGCTGGCACTGCTGCTAGCACTGTTGCTGCTCTGGAGTCCTGGGAGTTTGCTTTTGGGTTTTTGCCTCTGTTTTGATCCCCACAGAAAGTGTACTTTGCAAAAATAAGTTCCGTGGAACTAATAAAGTTAGAAATCTATTCAAATTCTTTGGGTGGTGTACAAACAGGGTGAAACAAATTCCATAAGCTGCAGGTCACAAACGTCCTGAATCGCAAGTCCACACTGTGCTCTGTGAGGAAGTGTCTCCTGCCAGAGCCATCAAATACAGATGAGTACCTGTAAATGCTCTTATCCCTCAAGAAAAAAACACAAAAGGATTCTGGACTTGAACTCAGTGTTTGATTTAAAAAAGAGAAGCCCTTGAGTTAAAGCAAAATAAGTATTTAACAAAATGTGCAGACCTCATTAGCTCTATCTCACCAGGAAGTGATATGGGTTCTTCTTAGAGAAAAAGAACAAAGTTTACATGACTCATTTCCAGATTCCTGTGGTTTATTATCCTTTTTCTAAATTCTAATTTGTTAGAAGACTATCTTTAGACAGATAACAAATTTTCCAGTATTCTGATATTTTAACACCCACATAAGGAGCAAAAATAAACTCTGATGTGAAATTCAAAACTTTGGGTTTCTGGATTTAATAAAGCCACAGATACTAACAAAAAGTTTCCTTTCTCATTAGTATGTTTCAGAGGAAGTTGGTAAATAACCACTTTCCAACAGGCTAAAAGTTTACATGGATGCACACTACAGATACTGCTTTGTAATTCCTCCTTTCCAATGAGAAAGAGAAACAGCGCCGGTTAATCTGCTTTAAACTATGTGAGGTTTTAAACTTCACAAACACTAATTTATTAGAGTTAGCTAACGACCATTTAGCTAGGAGCAACAAACTTTTAAGGAAAAGAAACCCCACGATAATTAAATTTGTAAAATTTTAATGTTTTTATATAAACCAGGCTAGTTCTAACAGTCTTGCTGGAGAGTGCTGCTGCTTAGAACGAAAAATGAAATGAAAAGCTTTTTCAAAACAGCATGTTATGGCTGAGACTGGACCTCACCTGCACATTCCTGGGCGACAGGGCAGAGGGGGCAGGCGGGAGGACGCAGCTCCTCTTTCTGTCTATGGATACGGGAAGAACCATGGACACCAAGTGAACCACAGACTGTCTTCTAAATTGGCCAAGAAGTTACCTTTACTTACTCTTGCTAAACATCTTCAAATGAGTGGATCACAGAACGGTTGGCCCTGGAAGGGTCTGGGTATTGTGGTTAAGCTCTCACACTTTACAAACCAGAAAACTGAGCCCTAGAAAGGTAGCACAGCTGACCCAAGACAGGATGCGAGCCAGGCTCTGGGTCTCTGGGACAGTAACCCTAACCCTAAGCTGTGGCGCCGTGGCCACTAGGGGACGCTCGAGGAACTGACTCACTCCAGTGTGGACGAGACGGGTGGGAGGATCTAGGTGGGATCCAGACACAGCGGCTGTCTTGCCATGTCTGCTGCTAACCCTTGACTTCCTGTGCTGTACCTCCTCTTGGGTCAAGTCAGAGTCATGGCCTGGATGTGAGAGCCCTCCCATCCCCACTGCCCTGTTCCCCGTCTAACCCTGCACGCAGGCAGTCTGACCCCACGAGGTGTCGGCCAGGTCATTTGTTCTCCGCGGAGCTGGCTGGATGTCCCACTTAAACGCTCCTCACTGAACACAGAAGGGCCAGCAGCTTGCTCAATGAAGCTCTGAGCCAGGGTGGCCGGCACCGACAGACTGATGTTGGACACACCACCTGCAAACCATACAGACCATCCNAAAAAAAAATAAGTGATTTAGGTCATCACCCTGTATTCCGATGAATTAAAATGAATTTGATACTGTCACTTCAATAAGCTGATTGTGAAGGAGAACTGGCAATTTCAAGAATGCAAGTTATGGGCTGACCCTGTGGCTCACTCGGGAGAGTGCGGCGCTGGGAGCGCAGCGACGCTGGGAGCGCCGAGGCCGTGGGTTCGGATACTATATAGGACTGGCCGGTGTGCTCACTGGCAGTGCAGGCGACACCAAACCAAGGGTTACGATCCCCTTACCGGTCACAAAAAAAAAAAAAAAAAGAATGCAAGTTATGACAGATAGCAAATAAAATCTCAATAAGGAGACTGGTAGCCCTAGGTGCAAGGAAGCTGTGATTGTGGCACAACCCAGCTCTGAAGGAGACGGAACAACAGGGACTGGACAAGAAGGAAATGAGCCGAGGAGGCATCCCTGGCTTATATAAACCAGTACATCGAGCACACCATAGTGACATGCAGTGCCTAGTTCCGTTTCTACTCATTCTCCAGTCTTTGTTGTACATTCAACGTTTCTAGTGGTATCTTCCATTTTTTCTCTGGGACGATGTCCCTTAAAATTAAACTTTGGTTTAATTACATGTAACCAAAATTTACTTATCTGAAAGTGTTGCAAGGCCCTGCATCTCACTATGGTAGCCCAAAGGCCAGCATTTAATTTCCTTTCCTCGGGGATAAAATAAACACTCTTAAGATAATTTTATGTTTAATTCTCTGTCCTATTATGAATTGACATGGTGGTCATTCAGCTTTATGAATAAGGGAAAATTTGGAGGTTCTCATGTAGTAGTTTATCAACAACTTCTCACTTTTTACTTACATATTTTTATAGTTGAAACATTAAATATTTAAAAAACTGCCAGGAAGAATTTTAAATTATGAATATTTTCTAATTAATTACACTTACACCTTCAAAACTATTTTTTTCCTTTTGACTTATTTTTCAGGCACATAATGCAATCAGTCCCTAAAACCAAATACTTTGTATTTTTTTAATTATTATAAACATGCCAAGACCAAAATGCATGATTTCTCTGTCACATGTTCAGTGGTTTTTCCTTTGACAATGATCACTCTTTAAAACATCTTGCAGAGTTAAGAGAGAGCATCTAATGGAGGTGTTTAGAAGCCAGAAACATTTTATGTAAATGCAATAAATTCTCAATGGTTTTGTCTTTTGTATAAGGGATTTTTAGAAAATTAAAGGAGTACGTAGGATCATACCCCATAATTTTATTTCTGTTGAAAACTAAAAACTAAAAAAAACTGGGTTATAG